CGATTCCCAGTTACGCAAGCTTGGATTGCAGATCTTGCGGATTTGTGAAGTGTGAGACCAGCTGTTTTCGAAGAACTGCGGAATGGTGAGTTACAAGCTTTGTTATGGGCCCATTAATCCGGGGTTTGGAACGAAAGTAATTTGGGGATAATTGGGCCATTTCTTGAGCAGCTCCGGCAAGAAGTTTTGGTATTTCAGCGCCCTAGCTGGGTCCATCTGTTCTGGGGTGCATGTTTCTGGGCCTATCCGGTCTACGTGGTTGCAAATCTGCATCGTCTCGAAGTGGTCAGATACGACGTCTATGGCAATCTGATTCAAAACAGAGTAAACATTTTCTTCGTTTCTGAGGTACTGCGCAGTCACAGTGACAGCGTATCCGTGCTTTCCCCCCACTCTCACTTTTCCGTTCAGCCGGGGCGCTGTGTTAACGCTGTCGGTATCAGAGCGGGTTTTTCAGATACAACACGGCGTAGCTTCAGCGCCCGGCCATTTAAGCTGTTTTGTGGCCGACGGTTTGGCAAGAGTTCCAGTCAGTGTCTTGCTTTGCAGTCACTGAAGCAGCCATAATTTTCATCGATTCGCACAGTTCGGCTCCTCGTTTTGGCTGCCTGAATTTCTCCCTTTGTATGGCCCGTTTGTGCTGAATTCGCCATTTTTGCACGTCACAGTCATTTGTAGGTTTGTGTGTGTCTGTGTGTGTTTTTATCGGAATCTCTGAAGTAAGTCTCTATGATCACACAAATTATTGTGCGAGTTCCTCCACTTAACTGATATTCATTTAGATGAAGTTGTGCCTGTAATTACTGCTGCGTTTTTAGGCGTTTTGCATCGTGCAGTAGCAGCACAAAATATATATTGTCACGCCTCTGCCTGTGTGTGTTTTTGAGTACATTTTGCACCACACCTTCAACTCGGAAACGACTGAAGCTAGGAGGCTGAAATTTCGGTAGAATGCTCTCTGTTCAGATGCGACCCCGCAAATTTAAATTCAGCCCTCACTTACCCTCAGGTATCACGTGCGATCCCGCCAAAGTTTTGACGAAGAAAATTATTATATCGGGAATCACGAAAGCTGGGATGGTGGGACTTTAAAGAGATGTCCTATGCTCACGTACGACACCGCAGATTTAAACTGAGCCTTTCCGTTCGCCCAGGCACCACGTACAGCCCCGTGAAAGTTTTGACGAGGAAAATTATCACTTCGGGAACCGCGGAAACTGGGAAGCTGAAATTTTGAGGTAATGCCTCCTACCCACGCACGACCCCGCCAATTCAAATCCAGATTTCACGTAAGCCTGAGTTCCACATATGGCTCCGCAAAGATTTTGGCGGGAAAATTATTATCTCGGGGGAGGGAAGAGCTCGAAAGCTAAAAACTCCAGGAGAATGTTTTCTGCCTATGCATAGGTCTAACAAACTCAAGTTTAGCTTCCAGATATGACGAGGAGTCATGTTAGGCCATCTGAAAGTTTTGGCAAGAAAGTTACTTGGAACCTAGTGAATTAGGAAGTTGAAATTTCGGGACGATATTCGCCATCCAATGTTTCGAATTCAGCGTTCGCGCACGTTTATGTCTCACGTGCAAGTACGTTAAATTCTTGATGGAAAGTTTAGCAGCTTAGGAACCAAACAGCATATCAACTATTTTTTCACAGACCAAAGTGTGAAGCAGTGAAAACCCTTAGCAGGCAAACATCGGCTGGACGAAATTGTGCAAAATGCATGATCGCACTGATTACCCTAGTGTGCACCGCTATTTATTAAAAGTCGGCCAGTTGTGTTTTAGGCAGCTGCTGATTATTGGTGGCGTTATCCAGCCAGGAAAGGAATTCGATAGCTCCTGGATCAGGAAGTATGGTTTGTCGCGAAGTTTTTGATCGGTTACACGAGCAGCTGAGACGTTGTTGGCTGTTGCTGTATCTCCCAGTGTTTAGCAACTGAAAAAGTTTTTATCAGCAAAGAGCCCTGTGACGGATTTGTTTCTTCGTCATAAAAAGTGCAGCTCAGTTTTGAAGAGACGTCAAGAGCTCCGGGCACTACCTTGTACGAATTTGCAAATGTAAGGTCCTTTTCCTTAAAAAGCATATGCACGACAGCTGTTGCGCAATAGGTCCAGTCCTGCCAGTGGGCCAGCCAGTTGTTCACTGGTTTTGACGGCAATTTGGTACTGGCACATAGGCTCAAGCGGTGAAACCCACCTTCAGCTTGTCATAAGCAACCGTTGAATGAAAAAATCACTGACAAATTTACTAACGAAAGGTGGTTGATTTCGACATCTGCTCCTTTTATAATTCCTGGGTGTGTGTCTGATAATGACAGACACATAGTTTCAAGCGTTTGCGGATAGTACCACTTTTGTGCCCAGCTCACATGCCACCAACGGTGAACAATCTCACGGGGATGTTATCCGTCGCCTTCATATTAAATAATAAATGCTCATCGAAATAATTATGCGTGCAATTGGCGTCCGACTTCTGGCATTCACTCCTTGGTGCTGGCCCCTCGAATTCCCCCATCCCATGTGCCTGAATGTGACACTCCCAAATAGATCATGAGCTTATTTATGCACCGTTTCCCCCCCCCCGTCTGACTCGAAAACTGCGAATGGCATACGAAATTTTGCGCAGTCTGACGAACATTTGCCCTCCTGCACAACTTTCGCCGCTTTGGGACGTTTTAATTTTTGGCTGGACTACGCACGCTTCTGTCCGCTTCGCACTCTCTGGCCCCATTTCGTACCCACTTAGATAAATTTCGTGTGCCAAAACGGATTTTTTCCTGCTACATCCGAATTTTTGAGCTTTCGCTTACGACACGCTGACCTGCTTAAATAGCAATTAACCCCTTCCATCTTTATTGATCTGCAAATCACGCAAAGTCGTGAACAATAGAAAAAATCATTTTCTACAAATTAGAAATTAAGCAGTGAGTGGCCGGTCCTCCCAGCAGAACGATCAGCTACAAATCGGACGTAAGTGAGCTGGGGGAGGAGGGATTCAAGTTTGTTAAAATGTCGACATGAAGCTCTTTGCAAAGTCGTGACCATAGAAGCATACTTAGCCAAAACTGGACCTTGATCGACTGCTTGTTGCGTGGGCAAGCGGGACTGGTCTGGACGATCGTATGAAGTAGATCTCACCCACCGATCTTACATTAAAACGAACTTGGCAAGGCGGATGAGGGCGATGCACTGCTTGTGCCGGGGAAACTGCCCTGATACCGTTCTTTTAAATCGCTCCGTCAAATCCTCCTGTCTCCTTATTGGAAATTAGTATGCCACACCCTGCGAGGTGACACTCTCCTACGACGCGCAACCGCCCTAGTATCTGCAGCAACCGCTACTACCGGCTCACAAAGAGCGAGTGCAAGGGACCACTGCGGTCCTTTCTATTGCATCGCAGACATATTAAGGAGAGGAGGCAGTCAGAGAAAAGTGAGGTGGTACCATACGTGAAGTCTTAAATCACAACGTAGCTTGCTTAAGCCGGAAACCCACTCCAGCGCCGCTTAGGAAGTGTCAGTCCGGCTGCCGCACACTCAAACCTATGGAACCCCGACGCAAAACGACCTTTCCAATGCAGCGCCACCAAACGAATGACGCATTTCTGCGCAAATCCGGAATGAGACCAAGGGACGAGGCAAGACATTACTGCAACACTGGGAATTCGCTGGACATAAGTGGCGTGGTTTGGGTTCGAGGAATGAAATACGACTTGCCACAGTATGATGAAATGTCAGTGCGTCGCACTTCTTTAATTAGAAGTGCTTCCTGCAAAGAAAAAAAACTTTTTTAAATCATTTTTTTTCCTGTTCATCGATGTTCGGTGCCTTTCAAATCAGACTATTTTTTTTTTTTTCTTACAGGCTAGCCGTCCTCCTAGACCCATACAACGCCTCGCGCAAGTATGATCAAAACTTGCGACGGGCTCCGCTCAAAATTTCATACAATGAGAATAGTACGCAAACATAAAAAACTTGGAAACATACAAAAACATGCGATTAAGTCAGAGCGTATAAAAATAGAAACACCGTAGAAATCACATATACAAAAATAGTACGAATAATGAAAATGGTACAAATTGTAACCTGCAAAACAATGCAAAAATGCTGAAAAGCGCAAAAATATGCGAGCACATATGCGCATAAATAACAGATTACAAATGGTTAGTGTACGAAAGCAATACAGAAAATGAAGAGCATGAGACGCACTGCCAAATTCAAAGAAATAGTTGAAATTGACTAATCCTTATGGGCAATATCCACCCAGGCATGCGTTCAAGGGTAGAGACACAATACGAACGCTGAAGAAAAAGACGCGCGTGGCAAACGTAACGAGAACACGTTTAACGTCGTAGAACATAAACGACAGACACATACACACATGCGCTCAGACACACACACACACACACACCCAATGCGTAACAGGGCCGATAAATGACGATGTCCAGGGAGCACATACGTTCGTAAAAGAGTACAAATCTCCTAGTTAGTGCAAATTACGCTCCGACGGAAATTTTGAGGATAGGATTGCGACGCAATGCTTCATGCAAGTTATATGAGGGCAGCCCGATGAACCGAAGCAAAAAAAATCCAGCTTGTTTTGAAGAAATGCACGGGAGGTGTGAAGCAGATGACTCCGTGCAGACTGCACTCTAGAAACCCGTGTGCTCTCATGACTCAGTGCACTTCCACCCACTATATTTAATAAATAGAAGACAAACAAGCAGAGGACACCAGTGTGTTCTTTTTTTTTGCACCACTTCTTTAGAGCCCACTGTCGTCCACAGTCACAATGTTTGCATATCCAGTCTCGGTGAGATGATGAGGCTCGCTCGCTAAGTTACACCTTCCTGGTCACTATAAGCATTCATTTAAGACAATTAATAAAAAGATGGACGCAGCAAAAGCGTCCGTGCAGCAGCCACACGTTTTTGCAACAACCGCTCCCGGACAAAGCGCAGCTCACCGTGCAGCACTGGACACAACCATACAGTTAATAAGCGCGTGCATTTTGCGAATTTACCGTCCAGACGATGGCATATCAGTTGAACGTCCCAGCCCTGTACTCTTCATTTGAAACCCATGCTTGCTGCCGATTGTTAGAAGGATGAGGGACAAGTGAACAGAGCTATGCAACCTCGCCTGCCCCGGAAATCAACGGCAAAACAGTGTCGATTGCATTCAAGCACGTTTGGCCCAAACCATTTTCGATTGGCAGTTTTTGCAAAGTGCGAAATATGGTAAATATGCAAGTGATATTTCACTGCGACTATGCTCGCTGTTTTCTCCGAGATCAAACATATACTACTACTATCAGACGTCATCGCATAAAAAAACTTTTTCAATGAACACTGCATACTGCAACTCCAGCGCAACCACGGGAACGTAAACGGCTATAGGATATACACGTAGTTTTAAACAGGCTAAAAAA